CGTTGTTTCTTAACCTTACGGTTGCCCCTGTTCACTAACGAAATCCTATTGAACTACGCCGTTCACTGCACAATACGGCTTATTTCCCTCAGTGCATTTTTCTCATACTCAGTCACCTAAGATTGCGTACACTCGTTACCCGAATCGGGAACGTCTGTAAGACTCCGGGGATTTTAGTCCTATATTTCTAAGCGTACTACAATCCTCTTCGTGTCCAGATGTTCCCACTAATATTTCTGTATGTTATTTAAAATGTTATCTCTTGCTGTGTCTAATGCTCGTGGTTGAATGTTTACAACATGTACATGCTTTTTTTTCAACTCACTACCTCAAGCAAACCTTGTTTGGACTGCCAAACGCTCGGGATTATCGACCACCAAGGCTTTTAGTTCGTATTACTCCAGCTCAAACAATTAATGGTGCAATTCGTCTCCAGGAGGTTGCCCGTATCCGTTCAGGTGACATGGCATTGCGCGCCTATCTAGAACGAAGACGAGCATCTTTGCCGGATAGTGCTGCGGTCAATCCATCCACAGGAACAACTCAGTCTAATGCATTGGGAATTGCAACAGGTTTGTTTGTCTTTTGTCTATTTAAAGTTACTCTGTTCCTTTGCATGGTATGTATCATTATCTTCTACGTCTACATCTTCATTGCTCAGTGGGAAGGCTATGGTCATTTTCTGATGTAGTTGAGAAGTCTTCAAAGTCGCTTAACATTCTTTCCGGTGTGCTTAATCCGCTTTGATTGTCTCTTACTTAGGTTAAAAGCCTGTCTTGTTTACCAAGTTGTCTGGCACAGTACAATTGCAATTTTCTTGTGACATAATCGAACTTATTCAGAAGACTTACCGTGACAATCATGCACGAAGCTGACTCAGAAATCCTCATGAAACCGTCCCTAAAGATTACTTAAATGACTATCAGATGTTCGGTCATTTCTATTTCATCCTAAAATGATTGAGTGGTTCTCTAGCCTGGTTCGTGGATCACAGCATCATTGTATAGTATTGTATTGTAATGACTTGTGCAGGCAACCATATCTAAATTTCAGGCAAATGGAAGTTTGTTCACCGTTACAATGATAAAGTATTTATGCGAGAGAGTAAGCAGTGAAAATTGGATCGGGTTATAGCGTGGGAACTCCAAGCGGATATATCAGGATTGAGCGGATGGCTGGGGTCGTTGAGTATCTTATGGACGAAATTCTCACATGAAGTAATATGAAAATCCCACAATTTTGTGATTAGTGTTTGAAGCAATAAGAGGAACACGGCTGATAATTACCAAACGAAGGGTAATGAAATCCTTTTTTATTACTCCAGGGAAAATAACGGGCGAACAAAAAAGTATGACGGGAAAAATGCATTGATAAACAGAAGAACATGTAGTTTTATGCTTCACTCTAAATCGTAGCATGCATATCTGGAAGGCTAAGCGACGCAGATTGAGCAAAAAGGTCATGCCTTGCACGTGTGTGTGTATGTGTGAATACGTGTGCTCCTGGAGAACACTGAACGACCTACTCCAACAATTTTGTATTCCTAATGCGACACCGATCATCAATCAGCGTGTCTTATTCAACGATGTTTTCAACTCGATGTAATTAAGCACATAACGAGTTTTACAACCGTCTATGTTTTGCTCGGTCAACCTACTGCGGCTCTCGATGCTATTTTCACCCTCACTTAATACGGCATTTGACACCGGTTGGGGTATAACATAACTTAACAGATTCATTTGTTAATTAGTATTTGGTGCAATTCGGATAAAATGGTCGCTAAAAATCCGGCAAGGTTTTATCCAGATTAAATAAAAGGTGGAATTTCAACACCTTTCATAGGTGTTGTTTTCTGCAGTTTATCGACTTGTAACCAGTGGAAAGTAGAAGAGGGCTAATAAAACTTGTTGTTCTTTTAACGGAATACGAATCAGCTTTGTCACCCAATTGAAACCGTCTTAATTGCATATTCCAACAACCGATCAGTTAGTTCTTTTGATAATTTTTCTTCTATTCAGATTCTAATTCTGGAGAACCTACCCCGGGATGGCAAAGCGACTTTTCCAAAACTGTCAAAGATGGATCCTCCGACGTACAAATAGAGTCTGCCAATCCTTTGACACCCACTGGTGTTATTAGTTTTCTTCAATCAATAACCTCACCGGCGCCTAGTGGACCGTCAACATCTACCGTTGCAACCAGTGCGTCATCCTCAGCTACAGCCCCAGCGGAACTAGACTTACGTGAGACAGGGAAACAACTCTTACATGGAGTGACTTTTGAGGTTTGTCTTCAGTGTTGCTTGTATTCTCGCACAGTATGCAGAGCGCCATAATTGTCACTGTATCCTCTCAATCTAAGGCACGCTATTCTGGAGTTTATTATCATGCTCGGTTTTCTGGAAATGTGATACAAAGCGTGGTAGTGGATTATTTTTTTTTTCTTATCCGGTTAGTGAAGAACAATCGTATGAGGTGGGAACGAGGGGAAGTTGTGAAGGAGCTTCAGTTTTTGTTAGATAACTGTGATACACATGGTCTCTAAGTTACGCATGATCTTGCCCTGATTTCACGTTAAGTGATCGATTTTCGGTTGTAGCCATTGGGCAAATTGAACCAATTTTCGTTTTGCACATATATCCTATTTTCAAATCAGTGAGTGTTCCATCTTGGTTCATACGATCCTATACTGCACGGCACAGATATCACTGTAATCCTGTGGTCGTCTGGGATACCAAGGCCTGTCTGTTTCGCACTCGAATGTATTATATCATTACTGTATAGAACAGACTCGCAAAACGTACCATAGAAGTACATTCGAACAGGGATTGGATAAAAGCAAGGCTAGCTAATGTGATTGGTTCCCAAAGCTGCGCGTGTACCAGTCACGTGGTTCCATGTTTTAGGGATGCGGTGTGAAATTGGCAACCTGCCAGAAACGCAGTGTGTGCGCGGTATTGCAAGAACAAAGACCATGACAATCACAATGCGAGATCAACACTAAGATATAAATACTAGCGTATGATTGGAAAATGAGCGAAACGTAAAGCGCATGATTGGACCGGACGAATTCCTGTCCATTCATTTAGTCT